AATTGTTTCTAATTTTTAAAAGTTGCCTTAGTGAAGTAGGAATAGTAGACTAATTCCTAAAACTAATAATAAATAATATCTATCTTAAACCAGCAGTCTTCCTCACACTTAACTATTGGTTTCCTGTTAGGCAGAAAATGGGTCTTCACCTACAGCCACACCCAGTGTAATTTCTAGGTGAATCTTTATTTTAAATTGAAAACATAAAACTGTAGAAGTAAAAATAAAATAGAAACTAATAGCTTGTCAATTTCAGAATGTGAGTTGCCTTAGTGAAGTAGGAATAGTAGACTAATTCCTAAAACTAATAATAAATAATATCTATCTTAAACCAGCAGTCTTCCTCACACTTAAATCTTGGTTTCCTGTTAGGCAGAAAATGGGTCTTCACCTACAGCCACACCCAGTGTAATTTCTGGGTGAATCTTTATTTTAAATTGAAAACATAAAACTGTAGAAGTAAAAATAAAATAGAAACTAATAGCTTGTCAATTTCAGAATGTGAGTATGTTTTTAATCATAAGAGCAATGGAAAAAAGTCTTAATGGAAGTAGAAAACTATACAGCACATGAATATGCAAGTAACGTAGAAAAAATCCAAAAGACAAACATGAAAAATGCTAAATGCAAATTAAGATAAAGTTGTGTTTTTAAAAAATCTTTTGACAATGACTTCTGACACCAACTACCCAAATTGGGCAAACTTCACAGGTTAAGGACATTGTCCTCCACAAGACTGCCCTCACTTCAGAGACCAGTCCCAAGTTCAGGGATCCCCAGGCCACCCTCATATACATCTGACCAACCGCCTACAAATTCAGGGGTTCCCATTACCCTCTCAGGTTCTACCATTGGCTAAAATGTCTCACAGAACTCAGGAATGATAACACTTTTATTATAACAAATGGATACAAATCAAATTAAATGGGTTTCTGAATTAAGTTTTTGTTAACCCAAAAAATATATAGAGTGAGGTCTGGGAGGGTCCCAAATGCAAAGTTTCTGTTGTCCTTATGTCACGGAATCAGGATGAGTCACCCTCCAGGCACATCCTCTTGTGACAATACACAGAGTATTGCCAACCAGGGACGCTCACCTGAGCATTTGTGTTCAGAGTCTTTATTGGGGTTCCATTACTGAAGTATGATTGATGGTGTATATATGATTGGCCATGATGTTGAAATCAATTCCAGCCCCCCTTTGCTCCCTGGAGTTCTGGCTGATAGCCTGTGACTCAAAGCCTCAACCTTCTAATCACATGGCAAGCCCCCATCTGGAGTCATCTCCACCGTGAATCGCAGAGATACCCGTTACTAGGGAAATTCCAAAGATTTAGAGGCCACCTCTTAGAAACTGGAGACAAAGGCCAGCCACATTCTTTATTACACAGGACCTTTCAAAAAGCAAAGCTTTTCAAAAGTTGATCAGTTAGCAGTCAGCACTGATGGTAGGAATGTAAACTGGCGTAGCTTTTAAAAATGTTATGCCCTTTTATATCATGTAAAATTAGGTTTGGTCATAAGTGTTGAAATACCAAAATTACAGTTACCCAAGCAAGACGTAAGTTTAATTTGCTCTTTAGTGGTCTCGGGTTGGTGTGGAGGCTCCGGAGCCATCAGGAACCCCCTTTCTCCTGTCGTGTCACTGCGCTGTTCTCAGTACGCGGTGTCCACTGGTGTCCAGCTGTGCTTCTCATGCTCAGCTGTCACGTTCGCACTTGCAGCCGGCAGGAAGGACTGAAGGAAGGTTGTCTTCTTCTCACAAGTCGACTTGCAGTAATTCTCACTCCCATTAGCCATATCTTCCTCACATAGTTACACGGCGGGCCTGGGAAATGAAGTCCTTATTCCAGGTATTTGGGGACTCTGCCAAAATCTGAGGATTCTGTTACTAAGCAAGAGCAGGGGGAAAGTGAGAGGACCGCAACAGTCCTGCCTCGCTGTAGTTGGTCCTGTGAATCCACTTTTGAAAACTTATCCTCAGGAAGTGTGAAATACAAAGATTCATAATAATAGTAATAATATCAAGTGTTTATCACCTACTATGTGCCAGATCGGGCTATTACTAAGCAATTTACACATTAACTCATTTAAAATTTACTACAGTTGTAATTAATGCCACTGAATTTACACTTAAAATGGTTAAAATGGCAAGTTTTATGTATATTTTAGCACAGTGAAAAAAATAATGAAAACAGTTCACGCAGTCCTATGAGGCAGCAGTCCCCAACCTGTTCAGGTTCACAGAAGTTAGTTTTCCCACAGATGGGGCAGGGGTGCGGGTAGGCAGAGCTCAGGTGGTGACGCGAGCGATGGGGAGCGGCAGTGAATACAGAGGAAGCTTCCCTCGCTCCCCTCCCGCTGTGCGGGGCCCCCCAGTTCCTAAGTTTCATGGAAGATAATTTTTCCGTGGAAGGGGGACGTGGTGGAGCTCTGTCGCCCAGTCTGTGGCCCGGGGGTTGGGGTCCACAGGTATGAGGTATGTATCATTATCGTTCCCATTTTATAAAAGGAAACTGAGGCATAGAGAGTTTGAGTCACTTGCTCAAGTTCACACAGGAAGGAGTGGCTGACTTAGAACTTGGATCTAAACAGTCGGAATCCAGGGCCCAACCTATGGCCATTGTGCTGCGTCTCCGTAAGGTAGTTGGTTTCAGTGTTTCCCAGTACTGAAACGTTAGAGAGACCCAGCCACAGAGCAGTGGGATGGATAAAATAAACTGTGGTATAACATGTATTAGCATACTGCACAGGCATTAAAGCATGTTTTTGGAAGCAGTGTGATGACACAGGGGAGAGCTTGTCTTAGGTTTGAAAAAGGTGGGATGCAAAGCATGTCAGCAATATGATCTCATTTCTGTTAAAGATAAAAATTGAAATTAAGATGAATGAAAACAAATAAAGAAACTCGTTAAAATGTTAACTCTGTCCAAAAAGTTGAATGTTCTTTACTGTTCTGTATTTTCCAATTTTTCTATAATAACAGATGTTTCATCTATAACCAGGAATGTTTTTTAAATGAAAATCTGTGACCAAGTGATTTTTATTCTGTAAATCTATCCCAAGGAATTATTTAAAAATTCAGACCAATATTGGGTACAATAGTGTTTGTCAATTTTATATAAACAGAAATGAGAAAACAGTGTATATGCATTGGTAAGCTAGTGTTTAAATTATGGTAGCTCCATCCAATGAAATATTATATAACTGATAAAAATGTGTAAAAAGGGTATCTTATGACAGGAGGAAAAAATTCAAAATGTCAGGTGAACAGAACAAGATATACAATTGTATGTACAGCAGAATCCCAATTAGGTATTTTAAATGGCTTCTGTGTCTATCATGTGCGTATTCACTCAGCTAATACTTAGTGCCAGCGTGCATCAGCCGCTGCAGTAGGCGCTGGGCATGCGCCCGTGAGAAAGACAGGCACGGCCTCTTGCCATGAGTGTGCGTCCTGCAGGGAAACGGTTAAACCAGCAATGCAAAGACAGCATGAAGAGTGCCATGGTGGGGACAAACATAGGAGCGCTTGGAAGGAGTCTCCAGCCCAGTTTCGGGGCATTAGATAAGAGGGCATGAGAGTGAGAACTGAAGGGTACAGTGAGGTGGGGGCACAAATGTCACCATCGAGTCCCGGAGGGAAGAGAGCAGGACCCGTGCAGCCCGAAAGAAGAGCGCCTGCAGCAGCCGGTGTGAGGCGGACAGTGCTCAGAGGTGAAGCAAGAGACACTAGATTGTTAGGACATCGTGCAGTTTTGCTAAGAGTTACAGTTGTGGATAGATTCTGAGGAGAAAATCCATTTGCGGTCTGCATTTGAGAACACTGGTGCAGTGGGAGGAACGGACCGAAGGGAAACAAGGCTGACAAAAGGGAGACCAGTTAAGAGCCCTTGAGAATCACCGAGTGAAGACACGGAGCCTGGACTAGCTTACAGCAGACAGGACGGAGAGAAGGGGACAGACACGAGACCAGTGGTGGCAACTGGTCACACTGGAGGGAGGCAAGAGGACTGCTAGAGAGATTTATGAAATTAAAGAAGGACTTTTGTAAAATAATAGTCTTTTTTCCCTCAAGGCTTATTCTATTTATGCCTTTATTCAGGTACTACTGACAGTGATTTAATTGTGGTAAAAACACATATCATAAAATTTAACATTAGTGACACTGAACACATTCACCGTGTATGCGGACATCACTGTGTAGTTCAGACCTTTTCATCACCCAGAGGAAACCCTGTGCCCACCAAGCAGTCACTCACACTTCTTCCCTGCCCCGGCAACCCGCAGTCTGCCTTCTGTCTCTGTGGATGTGCCTGTTCTGGATATTTTATGTACATGGAATCATACAATATGTGGCCTTCTTGTGTTTGGTTTCTTTCAGTCAGCATAATGCTTTCAAGGTTTGTTGTAGCATGTATGAATACTTTGTTTTTTATGGGTGAATAATATTCCATTGCATTATGCCGTGTTTTGTTTATCCATTCATCAGTTGATGGACATTTGAGTCATTTCTACCTGTTGGCTGTTGTGAGTAATGCTGCTGTGAATACGAGTGTACAAGTGTTTTTGAATATTTGTTTTCAGATCTTTTGGATATATACCCAGAAATGGAATTGCTGGGTCATATGGTAATTCTGTGTTTAACTTTTTGAGGAATGGCCAAACCGCATCATTTTACATTCCCACCAGCAATGCACAAGGGTTCTCATTTCTCCACATCCTCGCCAACCTACCTTATCGTCCATCTTTTTGATAATAGCCATCCTAGTGGGTATGTCTTATTGTGGCTTTGATTTGTATTTCCCTAATGACTAATGATGTGGAGTATCTTTTCACGTGCTTAATTGGCCATTTCTATAATGTCTGCTTTGGAGAAATGTCTGTTCAAGTAAATGGTAGTCTTTTACTCTTTAAATGCTAATAACTGAAATTAATCAGGAAAGATGAAATTTTTTTTAAAAAGATAAATGCTAATAGCAAGCAGCCAAAATAAGGAGGTTGAAATATATGATGATAAATGGAGCAGGGTCTCTGAGAAGCTGGAAGAGACCAAGTTGAGGGCATGAGTGGAGGGGTCAGCCTTGGGTGAGAGGCAGAGGCTTGTATCATAACAGGAATGAAGAAGGAAGGGGTAGGCATGTCTGCTGCTAATTTTATAAATAGGGTATCGGAAACTGGGGGATTTCTTGTCTGGAGGCAAGATTTTCTGATGAAGAGTGTGGAGGGGTTGGTGAGGTTTGAGAGGTAGGAAAGGTTTGAAATAATCTCTAATCTCTAACGAGAAAAAGTACAGCTATGCTTCAAAATGTCAAGTGAACAGAACAAGATATACAATGTATGTACAATAACAATATAACCAGCAGTCTCTTTATTTTGTTACAGATTATTCAAAAATGCATGTACACTCAGAGCAGCTTTGAAGGCCCAGTTGAGACTGGAAACTGTTTATTAATAGTGACACCAGTTTTGTGGTTTTTAATTTTTTTTTCTTTTACTCTCAGTGCAGTTGACCCTTGCACAACAGGGGTTTGAAGTACATAGATCCACCCATACACAGATTCTTTTTAACCAAGTGCTCATGGAAAATACAGTATTTAAGAGAAGCAAAACCCACATATACACAGAGCTGACTTTTCATAATAGGAAGATTCCATAGGACTTGAGTGTGCACAGGTTTTGGTATACATGGGGTCCTGGAACTGATCCCCCACATATGCCAAGGGATGACTGTGCTTAGCAGTCAGGGTGTGTGGCCACCAGAGATAGCTAGTTGAATTGATCTTTAATTGAATTGATCTTGGATTGCCAGTCAGAAGGAATTAGGTAAGAAGTTGAGAATATTGACAAAATTCATCAAAGTAATAGGACATGGAATCTAGGTTAAATAGAGAAGGTAATTGATTAAACAAATGAAGAAACATGGACTCTAAAGTAGAGGGGGGAGATTCCCCCAGAATAAGGCAATGACATTAGCAGAAGAAAGAAGAGTAAACTTTAGACGGGCAAATGCAACAGTGTTCAGTGCAGAGTCTAAGCAACGTGAGGAAGACTGCGAGTTTGAGAGCAATGGCTGAGACTGACCAGGCGCACGGAGGGAAGGGCCTGGGAGCCTCCTGACGTTGCGAAACGGATCAGGAGACATCACTGAGCGAGACAAGGCTGTGCTGAGAGTGGGCTCTCTAGACCTTTACTGAGAGCTGCCGCTGTGTTATGATAAGGACTAAACCTGCAGTGCAACAATACGAAAGGGGAAAAGACTGGACAAAAATATTTCCGCTCCCTTCATCCACCTGCCTCTAAGTTAGATGCTTTCTATCCGAATATTCTGTCATGACCCTTATTATCACAATGCAGTGCATTTATCTACTGATTTGTCCTTATGTGAATCCTGCTAGACCCATGGTTGCCACAGATAGCAAATTCTTCAATAGTTCAGAATTACATATATTTTTATTTCAAAGTATTAAGGGGGTACAAATGTTTTTGGTTACATGGATCACTTTTGTAATGCTTGAGTCACAGATATAGGTGTGCCCATCACCCAAATAATGTTGATTGTACCCCTTAGGTAGGTTTTTTGCCCCTCTCTTTCTCCCCTCTCCCCACTGCTTGACTTCCACTAAGATTTACATTCCTCTGTGCACATGTGTGCTCGTCGGTTAGTTCCAGTTTAATAGTGAGTACATGTGGTGTTTGTTTTTCCATTCTTGGGATACTTCACTTAGGATAATGGTCTCCAGTTCCATCCAAATTGTTGCAAAAGGCAACATTCAGCCTTTTTATGGCTGAGTAGTACTTCATGGTATACATATACCACATCTTAGAATAATTTTTTCTTTATTTTTTTTCTGACTTTTTTTCTCTCTACAATGGGTATTATTTTTTTTCAATTGGAAGAAAGATGTTTTTAAAATATTTTTATGAATATTCTCAAAAGCATAAAAATTTAAGATAATATTTCTTACTTTTCCTGGGATTTTTTTCCCCCTAATTGTGCTCAGGGACCTTAAACTCTTCTCATTACATTAATACAGAGCTGTGGTTCCCAGATTTTGGAGTGCATCATCAGATCACCTGGAGGGCTTATTAGACATGTTGCTGGTCCCTAACCCCAGAGTTTTGACTCAGTAAACCTGGGATGGGGCCCAAAAATGTGCATTTCTGACAAGTTCCCAGGCGGTGCTGATGCTGTTGCTCTGGGGGCCTCCCTTTGAGAGCCCCGGTCCAGAGGAGAAGGCGCAGCTAAGCGCTGCAGTTCTCCGGAGAGGGCGAAGGCTGAAATCACAGGAGCTCCCGACAGTGCGTCTCCACGTTTCTGAAGGTCCCTCTCCCTTCTGTCCTTCAGACAGAGCATAAGAAAGAGATGGTAGAAGGTGGGGCCATTTGCGCCTGCCCCAGACAGTTGTTATAATCAGAATTCTGTCCCTTCTTCCCCCACCCCTTCCCTGCCCTTGAGGTCTCTCTTTGGGATATGAGAGAGAGAGGCTGGGACGGGGGTGGGGGTGCATGAGTGATCATTCAGCATCAGCTGGTTAATTTGGCTAGTATTGAAGTTGTCCACATTTGTTCTTTAGAAATAAATAGGTGCTTGGTGTTGCTATTTTTACTGAAAAGTCACTGTTTTTAAATGTTTAGTCAGATTTTTAACTTAATAGCTGTCTTAATGATAAGAATAAGGAATACTTGATCCTTGTGACTGGGCTTACAGTGAAAGTGAGCACCAGAATTCAGACCTCTAATTTTATTTTTAAATTTTTTATTTTTAATTATTCTGGGTGCATAATAGTTACAGGGTACGTGTGAGGTTTTGATGCAGGCATACAATCTGAGTTACCCAGATCAGTGTAATGGGCTAGCCACCACCTCAGGCATTTATCATTGCTTTTGCTGGAACATTCCAATTGCACTCTTCCAGGCATTTTAAAGTCCACCCTAACTGATTGTTGATTACAGCCACTTTGTGGTGCTGTCAAGTAGTGTCCATTCCGTCTGGCTGTCTAACTGCAATTTTGCACCCGTTGACCGTCCCCACTTTGTCCCCATCCCCGCTACCCTTCCTAGCCTCTGGTAACCATCATTCTACTCTCTGTCTCCGTGAAATCAATTGTTTTTCATACTCAGCTCCACATATGAGTGAGAACATGCAAGGTTTTAGACTCCAACTTTAAATGAAGGCTTTATCCTGGAGTGAAAAAAAAAAAGTTCTGAACTCAAGGGCTTTATAGGTAAATGTTCCTTTTACATTTGTGTTCTCATTTTCATTTTTATGTTTCTATAGTGGCTGGGTGTTCATTGTGTTGTATATTATGTAGAATGTCTTTTTTGCCTCCTAGTTATGATGATTTAAATCTTAATTTCAGCTAATGAGTAAAGAGTCTCCCGTTTCTGCTGGAAATGATGCCTATGTTGACCTTGATCGCCAGGTATATGATTTTGCATTGTTTTTATTCATGCAAAGATTGACAAGGATAAACTTGAGATATTAGAAGAATATTTCAGTTGAAATTGCTTGTGGAATACATTGGTATAATTCTTTATATTTTATCTAAAATTTAAGAACTTAAGTTATTTTACTAATGGGTGTTATGCATTTATATTAAGTTTATAATTTGTAGCTAAATCCATTTGTAATTAAATTTAAGATAGATCAATTTCTTTGACTTACTGTAATTCCTTGTGTCTGGTCATGATATTTTATTTTCTTAGAGACAGTGTCTCACTCTGTCACCCAGGCTGGAGTATAATGGCACAATCATAGCTCACTGTAATCTTGAACTCCTGTGCTCAAGGAATCCTCCTGCCTCAGCCTCCCAAGAAGCTGGGACTACAGGCGTGTGCCCCATGCCCAGCTAATTTGATTGATTGATTGATAGAGACAGGGTCTCACTGTGTTGCCCGGGCTAGTCTCAAACTCCTGGCCTCAAGCAATCCTCCCGCCTCGGCCTTCCAAAGTGCTGAGATTAACAGGCGGGAGCCAACATGCCCAGCCTAGTCATGACTTTTTCTTTTTCCATTAGTGAAATCTGTATGCTACATATAACGCAATAAATGTATTCCTGGAAAACGACGTGAAGTAGTGTAGTGAATAATCTTTCAGTAAACAATTAAATAAGGGAAATAATATATTTTCATAGGAATCCTGCAATGTATTTTTATGATTTTAATGGAAAAGTTATTCTGTACTTTTATATATTGCTTCTTAATAAAATACCGTTAGTTATGCTGTCTGTTTCTATGTTCCAGCTGTCTGAGACATTTCTTTCAAAGCATAAACAGAAATATTCGTATTCTTTATCTTCTCTTGTTTCTTCCCCATGGTTTCAAAATGTTTTGCAGGAAAATCTTTGGATATCCTATAATTTTAACCCAAACTGTAATTTGTCTTTCTCCTACTTTGTAGTGTTTGGTTTTAAAGTTGTTACCTTGAATGTATTTTTTTTTTGTATCTATGCTACACAGAGGTTTGGTCACATGAAATGAAGAGACAACAAAATTTTATTTTAATCAAAATTTATTTCATACTTCGACAACTTAGAGTTTATATAATAATGGTATCCAGCTTGGGAATGTTTGATTTACGTTGAGAATCAGAATAATAAAAATATTTTCTTTTAAAATGGTGCTATACAGGGCTGGGCATGGTGGTTCTTACTTGTAATCCCAGCACTTTGGAAAGTCGAGGTAGAAGGATCACTTGCAGCCAAGAGTTTGAGACCAACCTGGGCAATATAGCGAGACCCCATCTCTACAAAAAATAAAATTAGCCAGGCACGGTGGCACAGGCCTGTAGTCCCAGCTACGAGGGATGCAGGAGGATCACTTGAGCCCAGTAGGTCGAGGTTACAGTGAGCTGTGATCACTGGGTGACAGAGCAAGACCCTATCTCTAAATAAATACATATGCAGACAGATAGATAGATAGAAGAAACATATTATAAAATGGTGCTATACAAATTAGCATAAAGGTTTGTTTAATATGACTAAAAAACTGGAGTTGAAATGCCCTAGCTATGTTATTTCCCTGTTCCTCTAGCACATACATATTTTACTATGGTAAAATTTCTCAGTGACTAAAGAATCAACATTACCAAGAACCAAGTAGTCCAGTTTGAAGAAGATAGATAAGAAACTTGATCTGGGGAATGAGCCAAATTCAAAGGACAGAAAAGATAAGACTTAGGGTTAAAAGAAATTAATTCAAAGTCAGAAGTGCCTTCTTTCATAATAACTCTTACAGAAGGGGTCTTGATTTCCTCCTTCACATTCTTTCCACCCCTAAGAAAGAAAGAGGGGAAATGTTTTAACTCTGTGTTGTACATATGTAACTATTAATTATCACCACTTTGCATTGAAATGTTTATCGTATCTCTTTGTTTCTAATCAGTTGAAGAAAACTACAGAGGAACTAAATGAAGCTTTGTCAGCAAAGGAGGAAATTGCTCAAAGATGCCATGAATTGGATATGCAGGTAAGAGGTTTTCCCTTTGTACCTCCTATTTGAAATGTACCACTGTAAATACCACCAAACGTGCTATGTACTGCCATGCAGTACAGCTTGACTATAATGCAACTCAAAAGAAAAAAAGTAAAAAGGAAAACAGGTTTCTGGTTAAAGATAGGTGACTGAGCAAAGATGTTAATGTCCTTTCTTTTCTTCCTGCAACCCCATTACATTTATAATAAATGAATTGAAATGGTATAAACTCACAGGAAAAGAAGACACAGGAGGATAGCACACAGGAGTCTTTTGGTGTGTCAGTAAACTGTCTCTCAGGAGGGGTAAGGGAGATTTTATTAGATCAATAAATATGAAATATTCGATTTCAAATCAAAAGTGTAGTTTATTAAATCTCAAAGAGGAAGCGGTATAATTAATCAAAGTATGCACCTAAACTTTTGACACAGTTTTGCCATCTTAACCATAGCTTATTTATGCCAGCAGCGAAGAAGCCTAGAGAGAGAGAGGCAATGAAATTGCGAAAGGTGTTTTCCACAGTTGTTGAGAATGGAATATTTTTCCTTGTAAGAAGTGGTCCAAAGCCTGGAAGAAGGGGTAGTCAGTTGGTGCAAGGTCTGGTGAATACAGCGGGTGACAGAGAGTGTCCAAGTCCAACTTCTGTAGTTTGAGCAGCGTTGTTTGTGTGACATGTGGTCAAGCATTGTCTTGCAAGGGGACTGGCCTGTCTCTATTGACCAATCTTAGCTGCTTAATCACAAGCATCCTCATCATTTCATTCAGTTGGTTGCAATAGACATCTGCTGTAATTGACTGACCAGGTTTCATGAAGCTATAATAGATAACACCAGCACTGGACCACCAGACAGACACCATTAGCTTTTTTTGATGAATATTTGGTTTTGGACTGTGTTTTGGCACTTCATCTTTATCCAACCATTGTGTCAAATGCTTACGATTGTCAGCAAGAATCCATTGTTCATCACACGTAACAATATGGTGTAGAAATGGTTCGCCTTTTTGTTGTGACAGCAAAGAAAGGCAAGCTTCGAGATGATTTCTCTTCTGATGCTCGTTTAATTCATGCAGAACCCATCTATCCAACTTCTTTGCCTTGCTGATTTGTTTCAAATTGTACAATATTGTTGGACTCGTAACGTCAAACCTTGCTGCTAATTCACACGTAGGCTGACATGGATTTGCTTCCACCACAGGTTTCAGCTCATCATTATCCACCTTGGTCTCAGGTCGCCCACATGGCTCATTTTCAAGATTAAAATCACCAGAACAGAACTTCTCAAACCATCAACGTACTGTGTTCATTAGCCACATCCTTCCCAAACACTTCATTGATATTTCGAGCTGTCTGTGCTGCATTGGTTCCGTGATGGAATTCATATTCCAAAATAACATAAAATTTTGACTTATCCATGGTTTCACAAAAATTGCACTAAAAAAACGTGAAAGATAATCACAAGCCAACATGTTCGTTTGAAAGACTGAGGAGGTACCTTCACAATAAACATAAAACAAGAAGTGTCAAAGTTAAATGTCAGAGATATCAACTGTCAAACTCAGTACTCAAGGAAATCAGACATTTCATAATTAATAACATAAATAAAAAGCCCTAATTTTTAGTGCTTGCCAGTTTCCATAGTGTTAATACTAGCACAATGGCTGATTTTGAGTCACTGATGCCTAACAGCCAGCTCACGATACTCCAGGTTCTGACCAGCTCCAGCCCACACCAGTCTTCACCAACCACGGAAAGCCGACAGGCAGATAGAAACGTGCTGAATGGCTGAAAGGAGCAAGAATGCAGTGGCCACGAACACCCACAAGGTGGCAGGGCCACTGCAGCGGAGCCCCAGGGGGACCGCAGGCGTGCTGGCAAGCTGAGGTGAGGCCGTGACTGTGTGGAACAGGCGGCCTGTCAGCTGTGTCGACCACTACGTATAGACTGACCTATCAGCCAGGTTCCAAATCAGAGGACTCTTTTCTAAAGCAAACAGAAGTATAGAGAGGTCAGAGTGTTAGTATTGCAGCGTAAGGTCCTTTTCATTTTGGCCTTCTGGGTTCCCTAATTTAGACAAAAACCAGCTTCTTGTGGATAAGCCCTAAAGTGCAGCCGGTGAATTTAGAGCTTCTAAGTTACCTGTGCTATTGACTAGTTCTTGAATATAAGGAAAATCTGCATTACAAAAGAGAAAAGGATCGCTATGAACAGAACACTAGCCCTCAAGGAAGCAGAGAAATTTTAAGGAGTAGGAGAGGTTTTTCTTTTCAATCTATTTAAAACCCTCAATCAAGATATTACATATATAAGGACAAGATGCTGTCTTACAAAGGAAAAATGAGAGATCAAGAAACAAGTAAATTAAAAATAGAATTGTCAAGCCGGACATGGTAGCTTGTGCCTGTAGTCCCAGCAACTTGGGAGGCCGAAGTGGAAGGATTGCTTGAGGCCAGGAGTTCCAGGCTGCAGCAAACCGTGATCACACCTGTGAATAGCCACTGTACTCCAGCCTGCGTGACGTGGCAAGATTCTCTAAAAAAAAATAGAACTATCAAAATGAAAAAATTCAATAGAATAATTAAAGTCAAGAAAATCCCTTACAAATAAAAAGACAAAAATTAGACTATTTGTCTGGAGTTTACTTCAACTGAAGCGGGACAGCAGATTGAGGTACACATGAGACATAATTGGTGACGTTCGGATATCTGTTAAAGCTGGTCATGCGTACATAGAGTTCATAATACTTTATACTGGAAGAAGCATTTTACTTTGAAAGGCATAGGAGTTGGTCATTGCATTGGTTGTGTTTAGAAGAAAGTGTAATCCTGGCATATTTGTTGGGTTATATAGGAAATAATATTTACATAGTCATAATGTAAGTGCTGTTAATTGCTTTTCAAATTTAGAATTAAACTATACACAAATGCTGAATTATATTAATAAGTAAAAATTTATTATTTTTACAAGTGGGGTATAAATATTATCTTTGATAATATAAAATTAAAGTTGCACACTGGGATTGGCAAACTACACAGCTTGCCATCTGTTTTTATAAACTTTTATTGTAGCACAGTCACGCCAATTCATTTACGCATTGTCTGTGGCTGCTTTCACATACTTTCACATGACAGTGACACAGCAGAGTACTTGCCCCAGAGACCTCTGAAAGCCCAAAATGTTTACTATATGGTCCTTTACGCCAGAAGGGTTTGCCAGTCCCTGGTGTGGACAGATTGCCAACTGGATGATAGTGTTGCGAAGAAGAGAAGGGGTACCCCTGCAGCACCTTTTGCAGTGCAGAAGATGGTAGTGACTCAGTCGTAATGATGTGATCTTTAATGTCAACATTTAGAATTGTCCTATAGAGAAACATTATTGTAAAAGTAAAGGAACAGATGCTAGAGGCTCATGAGTAGAGTGGGAGCTATGAGGGAGGGGAGGGCCCAAAATGTTTCCATCTTCCTAAGTAGGGTGTCAGGAACCACTTCTGTGAGGCAGCAGTCATTACAGGGCTGGCTCCTGGTTGTCATCCAACCTCAGCTCAAGGTCACCTGATTTATTTGTCATAAAATACTTACTGGGCATGTAGATGTGCCAGGCACTAAAGTGGGTCTAAGGTAGGTCTCTTGAGGAAGGCCTTCCCTGGTCGGCCAATCCAAATTAATCATCCGATCTCTCCTGTTATTTTTATTTTAACCCTCTGCACAGCACTTTTCATTTTTGTTTTTGCATGTATTAATTTACTTTCTTGTGTCATATGATTTGTTTTTATTTATATATCTATTATGATTTGTTTCAAATGTGTAACATACAAGGAAGGACTTTCTCTATTTTGTTCGTCAGTGTATCTCTTGCACCTGGAGAAGGGCAGCCCTCCCTTGCACGTAGTGAGCACGCGGCGAGGGTGTGAGGGGGGCTGAGTAGGATGAAGCAACAGGCAGTTGTTTAAAATCACAGAGGTGACCAGCGAAGAAGTGAGAATAGTGACAGAACAAGTTACCATAATGTGGCATATCTGAGCACAGAGTCACTAGGCTAATAAATCAAGAAATAATGTTATATAGCATATTATTTACAGGTAGAAAGCAACAACCAAAAGCAGTAAAATTAGAAATAGTTAAAATGCTGTTCCATTCTGTGTCTAGGGAGTGGGAAAACTCTCATTAAAGCCCCTTTGCCTTGTTTGACTTTTTCTTAAATGAATCATGTTTATGTTTTTAAAATTATATTCCCTTTTGTGTGTGTGTAAAAAGGAGTTCTGCCATATATATTGAATTGGGGCGGGGGGGCTGGCTTCTTTCATTATTTTGAGATTCATCCATGTCATCAGTATCAATAATTCTTTTTTATTGCAGAATAATATTCTTTTATACAGGTTGTATATACCATATCCAAAATACTGGGGACCAGAAGTGTTTCAGATTTGGAATTTTTTCAGATTTTGTAATATTTGCATTACCAGTTGAGCATCCCCAATCCAAAATTCCAAAATCTGAAATGTTCCCGTGAGCATTTCCTTTGAGCATCATGTGGATGCTCAAAAAGTTTCAGATTTTGGAGCATTTCAGATTTTCAGAGTTAGGATGTTCAACCTATGTGGATATACTACAGTTTATCCATTTACTTGTTGATAAACATTTGAGTCATTTCCAGTTTTTCTCTATTACAAATAAAGCTGCTATAAACATCTTTTATAAGTCTTCGTGTGGGCATATCCTTTTATTTCTCTTGAGTAAGGGCATTCTACCTAGAATTAGAATGGGTGAATCAATCATGTGGTAGTTACGTGTTTAATTTTTTAAGAAACTGCTAAGCTGTTTTCCAAAGTGTTTGAAACATTTTATATTCTCATCAGAAGTTTCTTTGCCAACACTTGGTGCGATCAGTGTTTTTAATTTTATCCATTACAGTGGGAGTGTAGTTGTATAACATTGTAGTTTTAATTTGCAATTTGTTGATAACTAATGATAATTATCCTTATGTGGGCTTATTTGCCATCTCTTCTTTGATGGAGTATTTTTTCAAATATGAAATAAAGAATGAATTCTTACTCTTACATATTGCTCTGTGTGTGCAACATTCCAAAATAGTATAAATGTTTTAAGTGGAGATTAATTGTACTTCTTTAAAAATAGGCTTTAATTCATAATGGAAATTCACAAGTGATTGAGCTGATACCAGTGTAACTGGAGGAAAAACTTCCTGTATTTCAATAGGTGGCAGCATTGCAGGAGGAGAAAAGTAGTTTGTTGGCAGAGAATCAGATATTGATGGAAAGACTCAATCAATCTGATTCTATAGAAGATCCTAACAGTCCAGCAGGAAGAAGGCATTTGCAGCTCCAGACTCAATTGGAACAGCTCCAAGAAGAAACATTCAGGTAAAAGACCACTCTTTAAAACCAGATTTTTAAAAATGTGATAGCTGTCATTTAAAGTTTAGATTATAGTGTTAGAACTTCTGGGTAACTGTAGACCAAGGAGGCTGTGTAATAAACAACTTCCCACAATCTCCCCATGTGACATTAAATAACTTCACATCTAGGAAAAATTCTTTCAGAGCTATGTCCTTCATATCACTTGAAGGCAGAATGCCCGGCTGCAGCATAACTGTGGGTGAAACCAGCCAGCGCCCCACAGCTGCCCACCCCACCGTGCCCTGGAGCTCTGGGGAAGCAAAGCCTGAGCGGGAAAATATTAAAGGAAGAATACTAGTGAGGAGGCCTGAGCTGTTATCAGAAAGATTACTTTCACCCAAGACCTGTAGTTACTTCAAAAAAAGAAAAAAAAGATAACTGGGCAGAGTAGACTACAAACTGCAGAGTGGAGATTTCAAAGTAAGTTCATCTCCTTAAAGGGCCTGGTGCCATGAAGAGATGCAGGCAGGGAGTTTAAAGGCACGGATGCCCTTTCCAGGTACCTAGTACGAGAGCCGGCTGCATTTATAGATGTATAGAGACTTAACGTGTGTATGTAGGGAGATTTATAGAGATAGACTTGTTTAAAGGGGCACGATGATTTAACAGGATAGGCACCACTTAAAGGAACAGCCTTCCAACCGTCTGGGGGGAAAAGGCCGAAGGGAGGAAGAACAGCCCTTTGGCAATGGATGGGGAAAGGGAAAGAAAGAAGAGGGAAAATGTGGTGTCCTGTGAGACAAGACAGAACCACAAAATCGAAAGACCTAGGAATATGACGAGAATTTTTTAAATTAAAATATTGTTATGATTTACTTAAAAGTACAGTATAACCTGTTTCTTACCTAGCCATAGATTTCCAGTGTTAAAACAGAGAAATTAAGCATCGGTTAGATTTTTACTTTATGGAGTAACCGTGTGGTAACAGATCTACCGTCATTCATTATTCCTCGTTGAAATGTTTCTGGGTAATAAAAAGCTTTTCGTAGAAACCTTAGAAGCAATCTCTTTCCCTGTGGGGTGCACCAGCAGTTCACAGGGTGGTCAGGGACTCTGGAGTTTCTCCAAGACCACACTGGAGAGTCTGCAGGGCCCTCCCCTCTCCCACAGTGTGTCTGTGCAAGGCTGGGTTTCCTTCCACACTTCAGCCAAAACGTCATGTCGTAAGAGACTAATGCGGAAACAGATGGGAGACCCAGCCGTCTTCTATTAAACCAGATATTAGCATCACAGAAATGTAGAACACGACCAGCCTTCTGACTTCTTTGTTTAGAAAACATAGTTATTTCCCATAAACAATATGTTGTTTATAATGAACTAAGTACATTTAAATATATTTTGTTTGAATTTCTAATATGATAAATGTTGATAGATAAGATCTATATAAATAAAAGTTTTTTGGGTAATTTAAAATTTTTTTCAGTAATTTTAAGAGTGTGAAAGGGTCTTGAGACCAAACAGTTTGAGCACCTTCATCTGCATCTTGACTTCCTAAGACAGCATCAGCAGGTGGTAAAATCCAAGCATGACTGTACCCTTTTGTTTCTAAATTGTGGCTAGTTTTTAAATTATGGTTTGGGGGTGTTGGTATTTATTTAATAGAATTATCTTACATTTTCATGAAGCATCAGTTAGATTTTCATTTCATTTCAAGAAAATAGTATTTTATGCTTTTATTGTTCCAAATACATATTTGCAATATTTTGAAGTATTTTAATAACTTAAATATTTTATCAATATTCTATTTATATATCTCAGTATTTTTTATTAACTATTCTTTATAATAAGATATAATGCTTCTGGGCCGGGCACGGTGGCTCACGCCTGTAATCCTAGCACTCTGGGAGGCCAAGGTGGGAAGATCGCTTGAGGTCAGGTGTTCAAGACCAGCCTGAGCGAAAGAGAGAGACCCCGGCTCTACAAAAAATAGAAAAATTAGCTGGGCATGGTGGTGCGCACCTGTAGTCCCAGCTACTCGGGAGGCTGAGGCAGAAGGATTGCTTGAGCCCAGGAGTTTGAGGTTGCTGTGAGCTAGGCTGATGCCACGGCACTCACGCTAGCCCGGGCAAAAGAGTGAGACTCTGTCTCAAAAAAAAAAAAAGATATAATGCATCTGGTTCATCTTTATTATGACAAAGTACCTTCAGTTTCTTATTTTTATTTTTTAGCACTGATGGCTTTTAAGATTTAAGTCCCATAGATGGTTTGTATTGCAAAGGGATGATGTACTTTTTTAATGGAGAGATCTGGCAGTGATCATCTTAACCAGTCATCAAATTTAACAGCTCTCTAATGGGACACCCTGACATCATGGGCCGCATGACGTGATACTATAAAAAGTACACAACTCACCTATGTTGTGTTGGTGCCACATACTTAACTGGAATCCAATCATGAAGAAACAATCATAGTAAGGAATATCCTAATAAGATGGCCTAGACTACTCGAGTCCCTGTCATAAAAAACAAAACAAGACAGAGAGATAGGCTGGGCACAGTGGCTCATGCCTGTATTCCTAGCACTCTGGGAGGCCAAGGTGGGAAGATCGCTTGAGGTCAGGTGTTCAAGACCAGCCTGAGCGAAAGAGAGAGACCCCGGCTCTACAAAAAATAGAAAAATTAGCTGGGCATGGTGGTGCGCACCTGTAGTCTCAGCTACTCAGGAGGCTGAGACAGGAGGATCACTTGAGCCCAGGAGTTGGAAGTTGCAGTAAGCTACCATGATGCCACTGCACTCTACCCAGGGCAACAGAGCGAGACTCTATCTCAACAACAGCAACAACAACAACAACAAAAAAAACAAACGAAAAAGACACACAAAAGAGATGTTACAATTGAAGATGATGTGTAAACTTTCATTGGGTCCTGGGTCAGTGTGGGGAGAAGGAACTATAAAAGACATTTTTGTTACAGTTGGGGATGTTTAAATATGAGCTACATATTAAACAATACTATTAAATTAATATTAGTTATCTTAGATGTGATAATGGTGCTGTGATTATGTAAAAGAATGTCCTTATTCTTTTATATAACAGGTGCGTAGGGATGAAGGTTTGCGGTGCTGACACCTTGAGCTCACCTTCACTCCCCCTCCCTTGTGCCAAGGCCAACAAAAATGATTTTGAAAACAGAGAAGTACCAGCATCTCATTTGTAAAGATTCTTTAAACAGTCTTAAATAAAACAGTAGCAAATTCAATCCAGCACTATAGTAAGATAAAGTTTATCCTAGGCTTGTTAACTTACTGGGTATTATTAAATCTACTACAATAACTATTAAGTCTCTTTCCTTCAATCCATGAATTAAAGGAGAAATAAAACTATAAAATAATCTTGATATGTGAAATTCCCATTAAAGTTAAGAACAATACGAAGATGAGTATTGATCTATTATTTGACTTTTTCTAGAGATTCTAAAATCCTAGCCTTATCACTTATTAGCCATGTGTGTAACCTTGGGCATGCCTCTATCTCCTCAACTCTTAAGATGGTCTGCTAGCATTATCTACCTCCCAGAATCTTTGTGAGGGTTAAACAAGTCAACACATGTAAAGTACTGAGACTATTGCCTGACTGATGCTACATGAATTTTAGCTGCTATTACTACTTTTCTAGAAAATGAAATAAGAAAAAGAAATGAGATGAAAATGTTGGAAAGACAAGAACTAAATGATCATTAGTTGTAGATAATAGTGTTGTCTACCTAGGAAATATAAAAGAATCAACTGAAAAGTTCTGACCCTATAAGCATTTAACAGAAAGGTAGCTATAAGACATATTTGCATAGATCATAAGCTTTTCTAGCAACAGCTAGTTAGTGTGATTGGGAAGAACTTCCAATTTTAAAGTAATATGAGGGATATATGTGAAGAAAATTTCTAATTT